GATGGATCTGTGTCGACTTTTCTGTGAGCCGGTTGGTCCCCGATTATGGGCCAGATTGGCTAAAAAAGACTAACTTTTGGCTGGATTGCCATGAAATTGTGCAGAAACGCTCATTGTCCCCACTGGATGAACTCTGATGACTAGTGATCCTTTGACTTTCCCTCTTGAGCAACCAGGAAGTGACATTTTTAGTGAAATAGCTCAACAGCTGATAGATACCGTCCCATGAAATACTACACAGACATTCATGGTTCCCAGAGGTTGAAACCTACACTGACTTCATCAGCCAACTTTTCTTTATATCCAGGAGAATATCTCAAAATCTACTGGATGAATATTTTGTAGAGGTATTTCTGTTCAAGCACCAGCATAGGATTGACAGTTCTATGATTAAATTTCATCCTTAAATATAAGATATAACAAGAGAGAGCAGTCCTCCACGAAGGCCAAGAACCTTAATTTTAAAGAAAGTTGCAACCATATTTAATAGATCCGTACTGTTATCATCAATATGTTTTGCATAATCTTTCTACCAGACAACCAGACAAGCGATGCAAACATTACTTCCTTGGCAGAGATACAAACACGAGCGCAAAGCAAATGACTAGAACTCAGATGTTGTACCTGCAGGAGCCTTAAGGTCTGTGAGTCGTGCCGGAGCTTAATGGCTTGTCCCTGAAAGATAAATGATGTATAATTGTATCAGGAAACTTCAAACTGTGTGAACTCTCTTCCTGTTGCTGTCTGATTCCGACTCCCACTGATAGGAGAACTGTTGCCTGGAGAAAGGTGGCTGATGCTATTGATAGCCTGCGTGGGCTGTTATCATTAGTTTAGCAGTGAAGCAATCATTAGCCATATTTTTCACCAGCTGATATGATTCGATTGGAACGTTCCGCGTCTCCCCAAATCGGATCGATAATTGCCCGTGGCACTTTCATATCTGCATGTCTGTGTCGACCAAAGCTGATTGACTTTTTCGCTGACGCACTAACAAGTTTAACCGTTTAAACTGGAGACTGTTGCTTTGTGGGAATGTGTTGACGACAGTGAGGCGTTAAGAATTCCTCATTATACATCATTTTGCGAGCTCACACAGTGACAAACTACCTATTGCATTCACTGATCAGTAAAAGAGGGTAACTCGTATGATCATAGGGGTTCTATCAGTTTCTTAGAGGCAGCAGTAGATCTATTTGCTGCTCAGTGGCTTAAAATTAAACAGTAACGTGTGTGGATTTAAAATCCAAGCATCACAACTCAGTGAAAACACTATATTTTTCTTCAAAAATCCACATCAGTCCAACAATAAGCTCGTCAGTGTCTGTCATGACAGGAAATTTACTTTTGTAGACAGCTTAAATGGAAGGATCTTTTGCTGAAGTATAGGGCTTTACGCTCCACTTAAGCAAGCAGCTGCAGAGGGAACAAATAAACCCGGATTACAGAGAGCAGACTGGGAAATATAATAGAGTTTATGGTGAAAGCATTGAGGTAAGCTACAAATAAAAAGCAAATGTAATAAAAGATATATCAGAGAAACAGCATTGAGAGACTCAAAAATGATGTATTTTTTTAAGGACAGCGTGCCTGAAGTTTTGAGTGAAAGGTGAAGACGCCTTGGTTACCTTTGTCTTCATGTAGCCTCTTTACTTTCAGAACTTTCACCAGAAAAATGCACTTCAGGCTGATACACAAATATTAGGTTCTGCGTAGCCTCTTGTTAAAAGGAAGACATTTGTAACTTGCCAAAAAACATTCAGCTCTTTGCATATTTTATCATTCACTGATGGAATGAATGCATTCTGGAAGTGAAATGTTGCCATGGTAAAGATGGAAAAGAACATATGTACAAAGACATATCACACAATCGAAACCTGCTAATGTACTAATGCGTCAATGATGATGTGTTGAAACATTATTTCTCTGCACCACTCTATCAGTTGGAATGAAGTGTTTTATAACAAACTAACCACACAAGTACATTCATTGCTTTACCTAAGTACAGGTTTGAACGACCTTACAAAACAGTTGCCACTACATTCCTTTTTATTGCTTACTATACTCTAAACATATGCTCCACACCACATATGTCAAACTCAAGGCCCGTCACGTCATTTTATGTGGTATGCGAGAGATGTGTGTTTCCTTATGTGATAAATAATAGGATTTACCTGACACAATATAATGTAATTTAATGTTAGAACTTAGGCTATATCTCTCCGGGTTCTCCAGCTTCCTCCCACAAGTCCAAAAACATGTTGAGGTTAATTGGTGATTCTAAATTGTCCGTAGGTGTGAATGTGAGTGTGCTTGGTTGTCTGTCTCTAAGTGTAGCCCTGCGATAGACTGGTGACCTGTCCAGGGTGTCCCCTGCCTTCATCCTGAGTCAGCTGGGATAGACAGCCCCCCCATGACCCTAGTGAGGACTAAGCGGTGTATAGATAATGGATGAATGGAAATTATGTTATAATAACACAGCAACGTGCCTACACAGGGCTCCAGACTGAGACCAACATGTTCTCATATGTGACTGTTTATGAGCGTGTGCCAGCTGAAGTGTCACGTGGTCGCATTGTGAGCGTGAACGATGATCATCAGGCTGATCTGGTTCCTTCAGTCGGCACAGGTAGCTGCTGCTCCAGTTATTGTGGTTAGAAATAGTCAGATTTCTTCCCCATTGACTCAGTTTCTCTCTGCCTGACGGTCAAACAGTCAGTTTCACTGTTACTGTGTTCCAATGACACAACCATACATAGACGATTATGTTTTTTAAAAAAAGCATAAAAGTGAAGTGAGAGAGGGAGAGGTCTGACACACCTGATGATAGAAGTGTTCAGGTGCAGGCAGACAGATTTCTACTGAGTCAGGAAGAAAAAGTAGCCCCACATTCAATCTGGAAGATTCACATTTTAACAATGATCACGATTCTGACTCTATAAACATGATGGCCAGTGGTCTGGACGTTTAAAATGCGCTCAGCTCGTAGAAACGTCTGTTCATAAAAACCTCTGCTAAAATTTTTGCTAAAAGAAAACTTTTCAACTTCGGCAAATTAGTGTAGAACGCGCTTTCCACTGTTTTCCAACTAATGTTTGGTCGCTCACCTGTCAGAGGAGCTGCACTGAACACACCTGGTAGCATCTACAGGAGCAGCATGTGAGGCGTTCAGGGAACATCGGCAAAAGGTAACATCAACTCATACACATGTTCGGCAAGTGATTAGCCTGTGTCCAGCTAATGACTGATATCAGAAGAGGACTGGTGACAAAATAAATATATTTTGAAGTTAAAACATTTTACAAATATCAAGTCTTGTATCACTGAAAATCACTGCAACATAAGTTATGCAAAAACAACTATTCATCAGCTGCACGGTGCATTAATACTGTGGCAATGCTGAACCAAACAACAACCAACAAAGAAAGTTGGCAGCACCAGTGCTACCATTGGAAAAGTTAGTGTGGAGCCCTGCTACATGTGTTTTACTTTTAGATGAAGGCATGCACAATAGCTGTACATATAATAAATAACAATCAAATGCAGAGACAATTATTTGGGGGTGGTCTCCATTGATTCTGCCAAAGAGGCAATTAAAAGAATCCTCTGGTCAGTTCCGTTCACCATGTTGTGCCCTAACACTAATAAAATGACACAGGAATATGTTATCATGCTGCACAATAAGTTAAGGCATAAAAATAAACATCAAAATCTGATTTATCTGAACGGCTAAACATAAACATCTCTGTAACCACAACGTTGCTCAACTCTCCTATTGAACAGAATAGTTAAAGAGAGGAGAGATGAAGGTGGGAGACGGCTTTTATAGGAGTCAATACTCACAGAGATACATGTACCGGTGCAGAAATTCAATTTCAAACGCATATTGACTCTGGAGGTATAACATGTTAGGCTACAGCTTTACATTTACATTAATTTTGTGGACTTATAAAACTACATATTGCTCATGTGCATTTCATTGCATACTGCTGCTATGCAGTTGACTCTGGTATGGATTATGTGACTTAACATATATAGTAAAAATTACCCATCCATGGCTTCTTACTACATCACATTACTGTTGCACGATTATTTGTATTATTTAACTGTCGCCTACATTTAAGGGTGGTGGACTGCAGAGGAAGTCGCTGAGACTGACCTGCCTTCCATCCAGAAGTTACACATGTCCAGATTTAGAACAAGAAAAGGTAACATGACTGCAGATCCATTACATCCTGGAATTAATCTGTTCCAACTCCTCCCCTCTGGTGGGCGCTACAGATCACTGAATGACAAAAAAGGCAAAAACAGTTTCCTCCCACAAGCAATCACTCTGATGAACGACTAAATTATTCTATATTGAATCCTTAACCCTGAACCCTTGCATATACTATATATCACATCCCTGTTAATATTTGATTCCAACAACATTGCTCTCTGCTTCACTGCATTGTCCACCTACCTCATGTCAATAAAGTGTCAGTAACCCTGCATTGCTGCTAATAACTGTGTAAATCTGTACAATTATTATCAATAATTGTACAGATTCACACAATAATCAACTGTGTATTTACTGTCATTAACTGTGTGACTACAGGGTTAATAATTCTGTGAATTTGTACAATCATCGTGCAATTATTAACAATAAATAAGGATAATTGTGTAATTCTGTACAATCTATACAATTTGCTCTTTTTGCTTCACTCTGAATATGCTCTATATCTGTACATAGTTAAACACTCATTATCCTTTCTTTAATCTGCAGCTCTTCTATTTATAACCATTCCAAAAAAGCTAATTGTGATTCTGATTAATTTGTAAGTGAATATTTTAACACTTTTGGATTAATATTATCTGCAAAGTTAAGTTCTTCTTCAATCACATTACTGTTTATTTGCCAGCTTCACCCAGCCTGCATAACAAATGAGCAACTTGGAGCTCATTTGTGATGAACTCCAGCAGGACGAGGATCCGTGTGCGCATGCGCCGTCCTGGCCAAAATAAGGAAGTTGACGTAGTTTTTCATCAATGACAACAATGTGGATGTGGCAGCGCTGTGCAGCAGTTTGAGCCACAAGGAGACATTTGTGGTGTTTAATTACACCTCCAGTAAAGGTAAGAAGCGAAGGGGGACAAGAAATATAGTGCAGAAACCTTCTGAATGTCCGTTTACGTTCATTAGCTGTTAATAGCATAACTCCTGGGAAGCTAATGCTCCAGCTAATTAGTTGAGGTAAGCTAAGTTGCTGCCTTCGACCAACCAAAGCAGGTTAGTGTTATTTTTACTTGTTTGCTGGCGTGTATTAATCCCAGCGAACAGGTTGTGTCCAGATATTACTGTTTAAACGTGCGTTTATTCCCAGGAAGTAGCCCTACGAACAGTGATTTTTAGATTGTACAGATAAGTGAAGTGTTGTCAAAGTGCTAGCTTACCCTTCTACGGATTATACAAAAGTTATTTTCTGTAAGACACACAGTGCAATTAATAAAAGGTATATATAAGAGTAATGCTATTTGTGTTTAAAGAACCAGAATAACCAAGATATTTAAAATACTGCATCGCAAATCCAGTCTACCTCATTACAACCCTCCTTGGAAAGAGCTAAAAGTGTCAGATCTTTTCTTAGGTTGTATTTTTGTCAACTTATATGTTCTTTTATCCATCTAAAATGCTGCTTCAGGTCTTCCCCTGTGCTATTATTTCAGTGTAGAAGTGCTAGATCCCTGTATTGTACAATAATGCTTATAAAACTGTGAACTTTATAGATGTTGCAACAAAACAAACAATAATAATAATAGTAATAATAAAAAAAACATATTAAACAATGTGGATTTGAAAGCATATCTTTACAAAAGGTTCTGTCTATTCCATCTGAAACCAGTCTACAGGAATACTAATCAATACTCCCACGTTTCATATGTTCTTCTATAAAGAGACATCCAGGAATTGTTTTCATATAAACAATTATCCCCATTTCTGTTAAATCCACAGCGTCCCCCCCGCTGCAGTAAAGTGCTCACAATAACTGTAACCTGGAGCTTTCCTTTTCACCAAAGCTCCTCCGCAAGTTGACGTGACAGCTGTCAACAAAAATAACAGCATGTTTCCGAAAGCTCCTCCATACTGTGTTAAAGCATTAGCAAACAATTTCTATTCATGGATTTAGTTTTCTCCAAGGGAGGGGGTTCGGGTTAGCGCAAGTGCGAGGATACACAGAGCTAAAGTCTCCCAGCATAAACACAACTTAGGCCTTAAGGAAGATCAGGGAAGATAAGATCACATGTGTAGTCACACTTCTGTTAGTCCCTGCGGGGCAGATTGGTATTGCGGTTTTCATTCTTTCCGCGTGTGTGTGTGGACCCTGCATCGGGAGATTGATATAAATTCCTCTCTATAGAAACTTCATTTGAAATGATTTGTCGCTGGAAGGGTGGGAGAAGCGGCTCCTAAGAACCAAATGATTCACAGAGTCCTTGTTATAGGCAGCTTTTGTGAAAAACATGCTCTGCAGAATCAGAGGTTTCCCCCAAACGTCTCTGCAGACGTCTCATTTCGCTAATGAACACTTTAAACAGAGACACTTGGCGACCTTGCCCCAAATGAATATTAACTGGAAAGTTGTGTCAAATGTTGGCTGAAACTCTCTGTTCCACTGTGTCACAGGCAGAAGTGACACATGGGAAATGAGAACAGGGAACGAGTGTTTTCTGCTCACTCACCTCTCAGTCTTGTGAGTCAGATCTTTTTTTCAATGGTTTTTCAAAGCTTACTTTGCTCACAGCACGACTGTAGCTAAGTACATTGTTAGAGGATACGAGTTATTGATTGTCTTGTACCTTGGTTGCTAACTTTTAATATTTCTGGATGCATTGGGCCGCTGTGCTCAGCGTTATAAATCAATGAGCTTTGATTTTTTTGCATCAAGTCATAAAGTTCCTTTATTTGTCAGGTGTTTATTATGACTAGTTTAATTAAAAATAAATTACTCTCCTCAACCTTTTTCACCTTGGAGGCCTAGCTGGCTCTGTTATTAACTCTCATAATCGCAGGTGTAATTAAACACAAGTAAATATGTCAATTTCTGCTTTCAATTCTCACTCCGGACTTATTGTATTTGACGATGCTCCCGAGTGCTTCTTATCTGTAGGGAACACGGGTGTTCATTTTGCAGATTAGCAGCTGTTCCTGGGGATCTTTAGTCTGGAGATCGACTGATATTTAAAGGCTGATATATTAATGGTAGTTTAGAAAATTAAAAATATGATTAATTGGCTAATATCATCTCCAGGATTGTCATTATTTTCACGTAGTTGCCTGGTTACAATTATTTGAGCTGATGCGATCATTTCAGACCTGTTTCCATTCACCTGTATGTTAGCAGCTGGATGAAACCAACAAGAATGCCGTATTGCCATCACTATTTCTGCGCTCCTTTCACCTGCTTGTGCTATGATTTAATAGCACACACTGCTTTTCTCGAGGGGCTTAACTTCTAATATTCAACCGTCTGCAGTTTGATGAGCATCACATTGACATTAACATCATGGATTTAGTTGGAAAGCCAAACAGCACAGCACCGCCGCGGGCTCATTCTGGTTTTAAGCCAAATGAAAAAAAAAAAAAAAAAAATGAGGAGAGAGCCCAGTAACCTAAAGGAGACATTTTGTTGGGTTTTTAGCAAAAAAAGAAAAAAGGTGGCAGTCAAAGGCGCTAATACCACTAATCTGAATGTAATAGAGGCTTAAAGTGATCAGCAAATATAAAACAACATTTAAATTGATAATTATTTGTGTGACAATTAATCATCAACTAAAATATCATGAGTGTGGCAGCACTAATCACCCCCGCCACGCTCGCTAGCAAAACAGAGACAGCATGCTTACCGTAGAGCAGCAGTTATCTTCAGTGTGGTGCCTTAATAACGCCATAGTAGAATCAACAACCATATTATGCTCATAATTTATAGACAAAGGTGTCTTATGTGAAGCTAGCTGTCATGTAAGTGTACGATAAATGATCTCAGGTACATAATTAGTTCATGTGTAGAGTTTTAATGCCAAAATGATGATGCATGTCCTCATATCAGCTGCTGTTGGGGCCAAGTTTTGCAGGTTTTAAAGCGTTTTATTAGTGCAGATTAATCAGCTGAAAACTAGTTTGGTCAGCTTGAAATTTAAGAAACGGGGTTAAGCTAAAAGCAGCATAAACAGATCATCCACACCTGTGTTCCATTGCATAGGAAGAAGGGTAACGTCCACAAAAGTGCCAGAATGCAGAGTTTCCCCGCAGAAAGTCCGACTGTAACTCAATGATTAATGTTTCTTATTTCACCTGTCTGTGGTTTTAATGCTGCGTTTCGCTAAAAAAACTCCAGCTGAGAAATGCCAGATAATTGCAAAGCTTTTCTTGGATGATTACCTCTCTTCACCTCACTTTTTCTTTTCCCAAGCAGCTCCTGTGCCATAATGAAGGCAACTAGAGGCAACATGCTGGCTGCTGGAATATCCAACAACAAGGTCAAATATTCACGGCTGACTGCCGATGATGACGGTTACATAGACTTACAGGTGAGACAACTCGGATTGTTCGCATGCTGGTAATTAGTCAAACTTTTACCACCACGGGCTAATTAATCTGAGGTAAATCCAGAGTAATAACTTCCCTGCAGAAGTGTTGAAGGCGGCTTTAATTAAACGGTGCTGTGCAGAAGTTTTAGGCGTTGAAGGTAAAGTGAGGTTGCTTTTTAAAAAAAATATTGCCCCAAATAGTTGTTTTACTTATCAGCTGTTTTCATACAAAGTGCAGTAAACAGAGAGGAAGTCAATTTAATACATAGCGTGAGCACGGTTTGCATTTAGAGCAGCAGCGGTTCACCTCAGTACACACAGTGTTTTAAGGTCTTTGGCAGGCAGGTAGACTTTACTGTTCCTCTGTCTCTTCATGATGTTTAGACTCTGTAGAGCCGTAGATGGTTGCAGAGTGAATGTAGGAGGCAAAACTTTTGCTGCTAGTAGTTAAAGTGACATAGAAATAAAGTTTTGTTTTATTCTGTTACCTAAGCACAGTATAAACTTTGATATGATTGAAGATATTATATATGTGTCCATATATAAGGTAATTCAACCTCAAATCATTTTGTTTTTTAGAACTATTCCTGCTTGACCATCTCTGTTTTCCCTGAAGTTTTTATAGCATAAAATATGAATATTTTGCGCATTTTATATAGAAATTTGAGGCTATGTTTAGGGCTGCAAGGTGGCGCAGTTGGTTAGCACTGTTGCCTCGCAGTAAGAAGGTTGCCGGTTCTGCGTGGAGTTTGCATGTTCTCCCCGTGCAGCGTGGGTTCTCTCCGGGTTCTTCCTCCCACACAGTCCAAAAACATGTTGAGGTTAATTGGTGATTCTAAATTGTCCGTAGGTGTGAATGTGAGTGTGCTTGGTTGTCTGTCTCTAAGTGTGGCCCTGTGATAGACTGGTGACCTGTCCAGGGTGTCCCCTGCCTTCACCCTAAGTCAGCTGAGATAGACTCCAGCCCCCCATGACCCTAGTGAGGATTAAGCGCTGTATAGATAATGGATGGATGGAGGCTATGTTTTAACAATATCTCAGGAACTGTTGATAAAGAAGATGAAACCCTGACATTTGAACTGTTATTTCTCATAATACCACTGACTTAGAATCTGCAGTTGTAGGTCAAATAATCTCAGATTATGGCTGAGTTGAAATATAAAAATAAAAACTGAAAAATCTGAGGACAGGTTTACAAAAAAAAAACGCATAATGCAGAAGTTAAGTAGTGATGTTTTCTGAACTGTCACAGTGACACATTGCAAAATATATCAAGTATTTTTTAACTACTTTGTTTTTATAACTGATTGAGCAGCTGTGACAAGTTGTACTACAAAAAAAATGATATTGCTGAATAGTCCAATCCAAGTACAACAGAGCTCTGCATTTTCAAAGCGTTTCTCCAAATATAAATAAGAAAAGATATATTTTTAATATGGGCATATTTTTCATTTTCTGAGCCCACTTTGAAGGCATGAATCTTGGTGTGGAGGAGACTTGTCAAGTAGTTTTGTGTAAAATCTTTAAAATTACATATGAAGTACTTAACAAAATCAAGTTTTTCTTGTTTTAAGTTTTAAAATCTTGCTTTAAATTAAATTCTAAAGATTCACAGACATCATTTAAATATCCTGTTTATGATTTATAAAAGAAAAATGTTTTAAGCGAATCGAGCAGATGGTCCCTGATGATTTGAGATGAAACATTCATGTGTTATCTGTATTTTCTAGACACAGTCCTTAGGCAGCACTAAGCTACTATATTTTTAACATACTGATAAACCATTTTAAATGCTCTGTGTTTTGTCCAACAATTTAACACTTTGCAGTTCAAGAAAAGCCCCCCGAGGGTCCCGTACAAGGCAATCGCACTGGCAATATTCCTGTTTCTGATCGGCTCCTTACTGATCATCTTTGGGGCCCTTCTTCTCTCAGGAACCATCCAGGTTGAGGTGAGTTTGCTCGGTTAAAGCCAACCATCTTTGTAATGAAAACTTACATAAATCAGATTTTTTTTCTTGGCTGAAGAGAAGCTGCAGCTGTAATGTGTCTCCAGCATATAGACTCCAATACATTCTCTTCTTCTGTTGCCAGAAAGCTTATTGTTAAGCATGTCAGTCTCCCCCCCATAATATTTTGGTTCCTTAGAAGTGACAGTAAATACCCTGCCAGGCTTGTTTCCAGAATATAAGTCTCCTGAAATTTTATTTGTGACAGAAATGCTTTTGTCTAAGCTGCCTGCCTCCTGTCTGTTCTTAATGTAAATCCTGTTTAGGAGATATATCTCAGTGTATGTTGCTCCTGTATGCGAATGAGGGAAGCTTTGTTGTTTTTTTTTTTGTGTGTGTGTCCACAATGTGACTCGAAATACCTCTGAAGGCCTCCATCTCTAATGCAAATGGATGGTAGAAGAATAGCGATTGTAGTGTGGGAAATAAGCTTGTTTCCTTTCTGTTAAATGTGAATTTTGATGCCATTTTTCATGTACGTGCTTCACATTTGAAGCTGGTTAGCGTAGCTTAGCATAAAGGCTAGAAACAGGGGAGCAGCTCGGTGACTAAATCTGCCCGCTAGCATCCGTAGCGCTTGTCAGACGTAAGATATGTATCGCTGCTATCTTCATCAGTCTGCTGAAGCGACAGCACTCTGTCATTCAGACAGAGGTCACTTTACATGAATGTTCAGCCGTACATGACAGTGATGGAGAGCCGTAGCACGAGCGTTATATTTATCACACACACACAGAGTTCGATGGTACACACAAGTGTGCATAATAATGCACGAACAAACAAAAGACTGACGCTGAATCTGTTATACATCAAACCACTTAACTGCAGCTTATGACTGCATGTGACAGCTCACCTGTCGGAGGTGAATAAAAACAAAGCAGTACGACTTGCCGTAAGGTCTACGTGTCAGGTCTAATTTATATCTGTAGGAAATGATTGAGTTTTCTGCTCTGTCAAACAGCAGAACTGCAAAACTCTCAGCTGAGACGCTTCAATATAAAGTGATGCTGCAGCTGTTTATTAACTCAGAGGAACGACTCCTACAAACAACTGGAGCAAAATCTCTATCAAGTCATCATTAGTCTCATTAATCCCACCTATTGACTATTTTTATTGCAGTAAAGTTTTATTTTTATGGACATTTCCGTTGATAATAGATGTGAAATTGTAAAGCAACGCGAATGAAAATTATGATGAATTATCACTTTAGCTTCCTGTGATGTATTTGGACCAATATTGGCTCTGAAATGTGGGAAGTTCTGAATCGTGGTTCAGACTTATAGGAAAATGTTGTGCTACATCCGACCTAAGAAGTTTACCTCTGCTGCTTTTAATGAACAAAGACCAGGCTGCTCATTAAATCATGGAGCTGGTGCGTTTCTAAAAGGGCTTTATGAAACTCATTAGTTCACATCTGAAATCTCTTTTATTTCATTTAAACAAAACCTGACATTAATGAAAACTAAACATAACGAGTTGTGGTTTTAATGGGGCTTATGTGCTGAACTTTTTCTACTTTGTGTTTGGACGGAGCAGCGCTCATGTTTCCTCGGTCTTTGTAGTTAGCTCAGCTAATTAGCTGTAGCTTCTTATTTTCAATCCAGACTGAAGTGTGATATCAATCTGAACATCTGACTGTCTGCTACTGAGCCAATACATTTATCTCATCAAATATCAGAATAACATCAGATTACATAATATTCACTGTGGCCTCTGTGTTGCAGGCTTGATGATTGTGTTGTAACTTACATGAACTTAGCAACAGACAGCCGGAAAGGTTTTTATTTCTCCAGTGTGCAGACGCTCCTTTAGCTCAGGAAACGTTTTGACACGACTGCATATCAAGAACCTGGTTTACTGGGTTTAATATCTGAGGTTTTTTTCTGTTTCATCAAATGGTTCATAAGAAGTATGAGAAAAGTGCCCACATTTAATAGCTTAAGATATGTAACATTTGATTTATTTATCTCATAATACCGTAATTTCCAGACTATTGAGCACCTGAATATAAACCGCACCCACTAACGTTAAAAAGAAAACAAGTTTTGTACATATACATACTGTAGTATGTTATTATTATCATTATTCTTCTTATTGTTGCTCTTGTTGTTGCTCATTTTGATTTTGAATTTTGAATGCTGTTGTTGTTGCTGATTTTATGTTGGTGTTGTGTTGTTTTTTTCTGGTGGAGCAATTTCCCTGAGGTCCTGTACCAAAGGATCAATAAAGTTTTTTTTAATTCTAATTCTAATAATTCTATAGGCCACACTTGTCTATAAGCCGCAGGTGTCCACGTTGTAACATGAGATATTTACACAGAAAGATTTTTACAATTTTAAATTAAACACGTACCGGTAACATACACAAATACGTAAATGCTTTTTTCCGAACAGTGCCTGTAACACGGCTGGTTAAAAAAATAAAAATACAACAGCCTATTCATTGATAGCTACCTTCATCTTCCTCCTGCGCACTAAAACCTCTAAAGTCGTCTTCTTCAGTGTCAGAATTAAACAGCCTCAGAATTACTTGGTCACACACTTCCTCAGTCTCTCTCGCTCTGAATGTCACTTTTGTCTCGAGGCAAATTCGTAAAAATCAAAAAATTAGCCGCATCATTGTTTAATCCACAGTGTTCAAAGAGTGTGAAAACAGTAGTGGCTTATAGTCCGGAATTTACGGTAATAAAATAGATCCAGATTTAATAATCAAACAAAACCGTGACTTTGGATAATCAGGCTTCTGGCACATGATGATTATTGGTATTCGGCGCCATGAGGACATTTCAGTCTGCACCACTTATACATTGCAGATGATACCCAGCCCTTACTTTTGACACACATTTAGAGATTCGACACTACAAAATTTCAACTGAAGCAGCAATTAAAACACCCACGCCGCAGCTAATCTCGCCTTTAAATAGCTGTAATTGAGCAGCTATCCTGACATTTTATTGTCCTGCTGCCAGTTTTCTGCCATGCTCCTGCTTTTCCTGGCCTCCTGCGCTTTATTTGTGCACTCGTTTGAATATTTCCGGCGATGTTTATAGCGTTTGGTGCCAACTTCGGTGCGTCCCCCTGCTTTTGGTAAATTCCTGTCCCCATGTGGGAGATAACCGAGCCTGCGTATATTATATTTGTAATTATCAGTAGGAGGTTGGGATGAATGTTTTTTTTTCTTCTCCCCAGCCTGCAGATCTTATTTGCAGAAAATTTGATCTGACATGAAAGCGGCGTCACAGCGTTTGAGCCGTCTGCCGTACTCGCCAATTAGCCCACGTGAGTTAAAATAGCATATCTAATACCAGCAGATTATACAAGGTCGGAGCAGCAGATAATGGAGGAAGAAGAAAGCAGGCAGGTTCTGTTGCAGGAAGTTGTAGGAGTTTTGCATTGAAGTAATGTGGTTTAATCTTTTTCTCTTTTGTTTTCGGTATGTTTTGTGTGTTTTTCTAGTGAGCTGAAGCCGTGTCACGGGCTTTCAGAGGCATTGTGAAGGGGCATTGTGAACACATTGTGGAGGCAAATAAAAGCAAACTTAATCCGCAGCCTCAGACATAGGAATAAAAACTGTTCTCAATTAGAATCAGAAGAATCGAGGGTCAAGTTTGTGCAAAGATACGTCAAAAAGGAGTTTTTTAAATCAGTCTTGATGCTGCAAAAAGAAAAATCCCACAGTTCTTCCCTCAGTGTCAGCTCAGGAGCTCTCCTGCTGCTTTCGTCTTCATTTAGACAAACTGAATGTTTCATTCCTCCAATAAGACGACACCGTGGCTCATGCAGCATCTTTTAAAAATCTCAGTGATGCTGCAACTCTGTGCCCAAGACTGCCATCTGGTGGAGAAGTGGAACACATCCCAGTGGCGTCGACCGCCTGGCGTTAAGCTGCCCTCGTCCATAAACCCACTGATTTACATGAAACCAGATCTCTGACAAATGAATGAAGTCATCATGCCCGCGCGCCTCCTGCACTCCCTTTTCATTTGCAGGATGTTTATGTTGCGCTGGCAGGCAACATTGAGATAAGTATGTTAAAGCGTGATGAGTGCATTAGTCTTTAATGTCCTCGGTACAATGCCGAGACACGTCCCCCGGCGCCTCATTACCGAATACAGGATTCCAAACGAGTGATATTTATCTACACGCGGCGATCGGAGCGGCTGTGATGCATCTGCAGCAGATCAGTGGTTAAAATAAGGCTTGTAAATCAGCAGCACGACGTGATGTTTGCGTCTTGTTTGCTCTTCTTTATGTCCTCAGCATCCCGACCGCACCATTCCTGTCATCATCATAGGAATCGTGGTCTTCCTTCCTGGATTTTACCATTTGAGAATCGCCTACTACGCCGCCAAAGGTCACCGGGGTTACTCCTACGACGACATCCCAGATTTTGGCGACTGAGCCACATGGCAGCTGCTGATTTTATTTCATCATTTTTGCCTCACTGTGTATCCTGAGACTGTTGCCTGCTGTTTACTTTTCTGAATGTATGTAGCAAAGAAAAGCGAAATCTTTTCACCATTTAGTTTTGGTGATTTTTATTTTTCTTATCACACGTCTTGTTTTCGCTCGTCTCTGTGCTGTTTTACTCCACACAGAAGCTTTGACGGACCTTAGAGACTTTATATTTGCAGCTTTATTAAGAGTGAAACGAGCACTTAATGAGTAGAGGAGCAGCTGCTTCTGCAACTTTTTTTATTTTTTTTGCTGGAATAAAACTCACCAAACATTTGAGACATAACAAGCGGCGAGTCTGTGCAGATGCCTTTCATTTACCGCTCGAGGAGTCCACAACTGAGAATCTTTGTGCTCTTTGCACAGTAGTTTTGTAGTGTCTTAAATATATATATTCTAAAAGTTATTATATCACAAGAAACATAGGAGGGTATATTTCTCCTGAAGGATTGCAGAAGTATCAAAACTGGTTATATTTTTGAAAGAAACGTATTAATTTCTGTGTAAAATATTGCTGTTTGTGTATATTCTGTCGCTTTTGAATATTTAAGAAACTTGTATTTTTACATATTTTTGCTTGATTGAAAAAAATGTGTAATAAAAAGTGAAATACAACTAAAGAGCTAAAGTAGAAGTTTTTTTTTCTCCCCCCACTGAGGTTACAGTTAGATTACATCCTCTGCAAATTATTTATAAGATAAATAGTGAATCAAACCTTATGTTGGGTCTTCAAAAAAGAAACTTTAGTCAAGATGCTCACACATTTTACAAAGAAACACATCAAACTCAACAAATAGCTCAAAAAATTCCTCTTAATGTTGCAATTTTAATGCATAAAAAGATCACAAATACAGAAAACAACCAGCTTTTTAGCTTCATTTTTGCTCAGAAAAGACAAAATCAGCTCTATCATTTGGTTTGAACACAGTTATGAGTACAGCGGCTGAACCAGGAGCCGTTTTATTCATTCTCTGCTTGTATGAACACTGTTTACATCACTACATGTGCTCAGAAACCACTTTTTTTCACTTTATTTGTTATGAAAAGTGAAAAAAAAGTGACTCCCACGTCCAACAAGTGTAACCTCCCTGCTTGTTTGGACACCAACATCAGGTAAAGGACACCCTCTTGTGGTTACCACTACGCTGGATGCCATCAGGGGATTAAAGGCTGGGGGAGAGGGGGGGGGGAGAAAAAAAAAGACATTTGATCCTGTGCCTGCACAAACAAACACTGTTATTAAATCAGCATCGGTTTAAATTATTCAGGAGCTTATAGGACTGCGGTGTGGAACTTTTACTTTGATGTGTTGTGGAAGCGTTTCTGAACACAACAAGGAAGCCAGCGCAGGGGGTGGAGAGGCGGTGGGCGGAGGTTGGATCGAGCCGCTGGAGCAGCAGGATACCTGCGTCGATGCCTCACTGTCACCTGTGCTTGAAATGAACACCTGTTGCCGGTGGGCTTTAACATAAAAAAGAGTGGAGTCGCTCATATTTCAGGTGCCACAAAGGGAACAAGGCCCACCTTCACAGTTGGCAGGACGGTGGGATGGTGTCCACAACTTTACGCACGAGAATTACGCAAAGGATGTGCTTTTAAAAAGACACACACACACACAGGGGGAATCTACCAGCTACAGGTAAGATAAAAAAAAACAAAAAAAAACGGGATGTTAATGATTCTGAAAGTGTTTTTGACTTCCAGCAGCTTTGAAAGGATGAGAAATTAATGCTGCGAGCTCATAGTGGGGGAGTGCGAAATTTCCTCTCAATCCGCTGAAGTGTGTCATGCATTTAAACGTCAGTAATGAAGCTTCTACGGGGGGATTTTTCATTAGGATGTGGAACCGAACTCGGGAGCAGCCATTTCTCATGACCAATCCAACGCAAACTAGGTCTGCTTTTTATTATTTATATGGCCTCGGTGCTGCGTTGTTGTTTTCCCTGCGCTTGCCATTGTTTTAATTGGGTGTGACAAAGCTTTAAAAACAGAGAGCAAGTCTGACAAAATGAAACTTTGCTTCAGAAAGCTCTTGGAAATAATGCTGCCTCTATCTTTCCAATCCTGTAAAGTCCTCTTTAAAGTGTAGAATTACACACGAAATGTCATTAAAACCCACCACAAAGTGTTGTTTGAAGACACGTTCACAGTGTTCAAAGAGGAGCAGAGTAGGAGCTGATAAGTGCTTCATTTTTATTTTATTTTTTATCCTGTTCAACACATTTACAAGGTGATATGTCCTCATGTGGATGCATGTATAACTTCCCAGAACAACAGTGCAGTATATAGAGCCAGAACAGAATATAAAAACCTCATCTTTCTGTTCTATTGACTCAGTGCTGAGACCGGAGTCTATCTTTATTTCACCGATTATGAGAGAAACTATTCGCATAAGTTTTCCCCAGACAAGGTTCATTTAATGATTTCAAATTCTATTTCTGTTTTGAATGAGTCTGCCGAGGTGCCAGATGGGCACAGTTTCCCATAATATAATATAATTTTTTTTTCCCCTATGAAGTTTACATCTTCAGAGAGAGCTGAGTGGAAATTAATTTAGCATGTCATTTTTTTTTTTTTAAAATGCTGAAGGACGAGGGCTTGTCTGACGCCACTTGAACTGCAGTAAACACTTCACGCCTGATACCTAAAGCAGAATTATTACCTGCAAAACAATGCTAGTACCGTACCAGTGTTTTTGCTTCCTTTATCTTTTCAAAAAGCCCACTGTGGTGTTGATTTAGAACGGAAAAATATCATAAGTTTGACAAAAAAATGAAAGGAAACATGATAATCGCTATGATGAATCGTCCGAGTCTCAGTCTGAGAGGATTTTCACAATGTAATGACATGAACGGAAAACAACAGCGGTTGGAAAGCACAATAAAAACAGCCAAACTTGTCTTTTTGAAGTTATCAGAGTTAAATTTATGTAAGTATTTCTCTGTAACAGTGATAACTGAGCATAATCAAAGTAAATACTTATGTATTAGGAGTTATCAATGCAGTTCATGAAAGTGATGCTGATTCAAATGTTGCTTAATCCTGATTGGTGCAGGGAAGTATGAGTCATCACCTTTGCCCTACATAAGCCCCGCCTACTTTAAACAACCAGGAAGTACACAGAGAGAAAGTGTGAAAAATCCAAAAGTTGTGTGACTTTGGCAGAAAATACTGTGGCTTTTTTAATTAGCTTGGCATGTGTTAAAAGAGAAAAAGCTGATTGAGAAAGAAGATTTTAAGGTAAAGACACTGCTTGAGATCGAACACGGCTTCCAAGTGTTGAATTTCAGCTGCTTTTTCACAGCCAAGTTTGTAGCCTGGAGTCACATGACTGACTCAAGTCATCAGACTCCGAGTCGCCGAATCTGATCTGGATCTTTCAACTCCGAGACCTTAACTTGACTTTAACGCCGGTGACTCGTGTTTTTTTTTTTTTTTTCATTCAGAGATAAGCTTCTTTATTTTATCTTTTTGACTTGGAATGGTAACATCCTCCCCGAGCCCCAAAGATTAAAACAACCACGTTCTAAAATCTCTCCATTTCCCAACAACGGCTTCCCGCTTTGAAGCGCTTCGACGGCAGCCGGTCACGTTGCCGGAGCTGTCGGGAGGCGGAGGAGGGGAGGGAAAGGTGCATTTGGCAACGCTTAGCAGCAGACAGACAACAGATGATGCCGCGTGTTATTTGATTCAGATGTAAAGACTCTGCTGTTGTCAACAAAATACAGACGGCCGCGTGTACAACACTCAGCGCGGAAATGACAAATAATTGCTCAAGATTGGAAAGAAAATAATTGCAGTTTTAAAAAAACAACTTTTTCTGCATATTTTGGTGCCATCACACTGACTAATACTTGAAAAAATGGCTTGTTGAGAACTTGAAAGATGAAGATCATGACTTTAACTTGCTGGTTTATCATGGAGGAGCTCCAAGTTTCTATTTAATGGATTAAATCGACAAAAGATTCACCTGGATTCACAGTAGACACCCAGTGTTTATACTCTGAGTGTGGAAATGCAATGCCCACACAGTGGAAACCTCTTTATTTGTCCCATTTCTCTCCCTCCTTTTCAATCTGCCCTATTTTCTCTTGAGTGCACATCAAACCAAGCCACACAGAGGGTTCCTATTGTGATGGAAAGTGTGTGTTTGAATCTAGAAATGGGCTTTTCTAACCCAAACGCAAGGCGTGGAAAAATAAAATGTCGACTCACTTGTGTGGGAGAGGGAGGGAGGGAGGGGCGGCGGCGGACGAAATAATGTAAGCACCTTGTGGAGAAGAACTTAAGCCCAGGAGTAACTTAATCACAATAACAATTACCGATGCGGAGGTGGGTTGGAGCGTGTTTGAATGCCAATGAGCGGCAGTTTTTCAGCTGCGAGAGGCGTTTGACAATCAGCACTCTGACTTGACATTTCCAAATGTGTCAGCTAACAAAGCTCAAAGAGGCAGGTTGGAAAAAAAGAATTAAAAAAAAAAAACGACAGGCAAACACTTATGTCAACAACTGCTTCAAAAGCCTCAATGGTGGGACTGGAAACGAAGAGCTGAGGTCTTCAACTGAAACAACTGGGAAGGTTGGAGCTGTAGGCTCTTAAAACGAAGGTTCAGCTCTTAAAAAGTAATACTCAAGTCAATCTTTTGATTTTTCAGGAGCGCTGACGGTTAGAAGTGATAATTTCCTTTAAAAGCTGCGTGGGCTGACACCAAACTCTCACAATGCAAAGCTCTATTTCCAATAAATAAACCTAATACGACCCGAGAGTCACTACTTACGGTTATTTTTTATTTACCAGATCGAACCTTGAGACTTTTTACTTGATTTTCTTGATCTAAAGTCACAAGTCGGGTATTTATTGAGGAACGTCTAAAGTAAATCCACTCTAACAAGTCAAGAGCCTTGACATTGTCAGCCTGTGCATCGATCCAGCTCTCCTCTCCGGTTTTTCCTCCTGCGCTACCAGCAGGTTGACATTTCGGGCTTTTAGCAAAGTGTGTGAACAAACATTGAAGGAAAGCTGTGCAATATTCTCTGTGCACTTTGCATTTAGTAGCATCTATGTTAGCTTGTTTGCACGCGAAGCTAAGATGATTAACATGGTAGACTTTGTACCTGCAACATGTTGGCGATGTCTGCTGCTTTAAGCAATGTAGAGATGCTGGTGTTTATTGGAATATTCTTTTCTGTCGCCTGCATCCATCATGCACAGAGTTCAGTGCCACTTGACCCAGTTTCTTTCACTATAGGCATAAAATCAGGATCAAAGTCCACATAAAGAGGCCGCTCACCTTTCAATCAGTAGACAGAGGTTAAGGTCCTATATGGATCTATTGTATCGTAACGTTTTCAACTGTTTGTGTTTGTTTTCAGTCGCTTTTTGCTTTCGATTACAGAACTATATTGATTATGTACCTTTGGTGCCTCAACCTCATAATTTCGGATGAAACACACTCATGCAAAGGCCTTCTGTGTATTTATGCTTTAAGCTGAAGCTTTCTGTCACTGTTGTGTTGTTTTCAGTCACTGTTGTGCTTGATTATGCTACAAAACTACTCTGTTAGGTTACTTGTTCAGGTTGAGGTAAAGATTATGGTTTGGGATAACATATACCCGTGAA